GAGCGGCGGCGAGAACCGGCTGGTGTCGCTGCCCCTGTCGCGCATCCGCGTGATCATGAAGAGCTCGCCGGAGGTCTCCAGCATCAACCAGGACGCGCTCTTCCTCACCGCCAAAGCCACGGTACCGGCTCCCTCTTCCCTCTCAGCCCACCCCACTCCTTCCCCGCCGTGCTGGGCCTGTGCCTCCCTGAGGTACCGCTGCCGCCGGGCTGGGCTCCCGCCTCGCTCCTCTCGCCGCTGCCGGGGCTCCCCGGCCGCAGCCGCCCTCTGTCAGTGCCGACCGCCTCCCCGCTCGTACCGCACCTCCCTTCCCTCCTACCTCTGTCTGTCCCTCGGCGGCCATGAAGCATCCCGCTTCAGGCTCCCGCTGTGCAAAAGGCGTTTGGGGCATCGGCCCGTCCAGCCGAGCTCCCCGAGTCTGTGAGCAGTGCAGGAGCTTCTTATTTCCACCGCTGTCAACTGCTATAAATTAGCCCGTGTGGAAATTTACCCTGCTGCTTTCTGATCCCAAGTGTCATTTGCCGGGCTGTGGAAAGTGTTGAAGAGCAGCACAAATTAAATTGTGTACCAGAACCCGAACCTGCAGTCCGTGCTCCAAGGAGGTGCAACTATATCCTGACCTTAAGCTCTTCTGAAATAAGTGGGCCTCTCCACAAAGCGTCCAGTATATGGCATTTGTGTCTTTAAACGGGGATTAAAGAAAACTGCCACCTATATGTACGAATTCATAGTTTGACTACTCTTTTTTGTTCTAATGTTTTAGGAGCTTTTTGTTCAGTATTTGGCTACGTACTCCTACAAACATGGCAGAGGCAAGGAGAAGAACGCTCTAACTTACAGTGACCTGTCTCATACTGCCGAAGAGTGTGAGACCTTTCAGTTCCTCGCAGGTATCTATAGAATGATGGTAAATCCAGTATGTAGTTTGGAAAATGAAATCTTGCTCTTATTGAGTTGTTTCGTGAGGACACGATTCTCCTACTGGTCTTTAATCTCCTGTATAACCTTCAACTGGAACTCATAAACTACATCACTGAAAACATTTCTTTGTGAATGGGGATTTTTCTGGTGCTTCAAAATTATACAAGGCTAATGAGTTCTCAGCATATCGCCTTAAGCATTTCTTAAATTCCAGCAACTCCATCTGAAGGTTTCCAGCCCATAAAACAAGATCACTGCACATCTTTATGTGAGAAGTTCTGTGGCCCCAAAATTACACATTTAAATCTGTAAGTCTTGTTTCTCAAAGCGATTCATCACATGGTTGCTCTCTCTTTTTATGTATGTGTGTACGCACATGTGTGTGCGCGCACACAGTTTTTACCGATGCTTGGATTTTTGTTGTAACACTTAGCTATAGGATGTAGGTTGAGAGTAAGGTATTCCTAGCCCAGTCTTTCTCTGGGTTCCCGGCGGACATGCTTCCAGAGCACGCAGTTCCGCTTTGTCTCAGGTCCATCGTTATTGCCCTGAACAAGTATCTTACCTTAATGCAGAAAAAACGTTTCTGCAGGACATAAATGGGATGGGTGTCTTGTTGCATCTGGCTTTCAACAAAGCCTCTTTTCGACTTCATTTCGTTAGTGGTACGGATACCAGAGTATTAATGAGGCAATATAAGTATTCCAGCTGACTATAAAAGAAACAATTCTACCTTCCAGATATCTTGCCAAAGAAGATCCTAGCTAGCAAATACCTAAAAATGCTTGAAAAAGAGAAGCGAGATGGCGAAGTGGGGGAAGATAATGAAGAGGATGAGGAGGAAGAGGATGAAGATGAAGCTGTTGATGAAGATGTTGGATCTTAAGACCAATGGAGAGTTGCTTCATAGCTGATCCATTTTCTGTTGTATAAAGGATGTTATTTTTGTGACTGAGAATCCAGATGCTGGATATATTTATATACTGAGCCATCTGCTTTTGCTTTGTTTAAGAAGTTTAGAAATTGAACTTTATACTTGTTGAAGAATGGAATTCTTCCCTCAGAAACATGGCGGGGTAAGAAGAGCTAATGTAAATCTGACAGCAGAACTTGCTCAGATGATTTAAAATGACTTCTTCAGACAATCATTTTCCAAATTTAAAATTTCGTATGGGCAGCTTTCAGTCCAAAAGGTCTTTGACCTTCTGACGAGAAGGGAGTCCTTCCCCAGTTTGTGCCGCTTCTCAGAGCGGAAGACGAGGTGAGGGGAGGTGTTTTACACAGTGTCTACTATCCTCGGCCTTCTCCTTCTTGGGGAGCCGGTAACAGATAAAACCCTCCCTCAGTTTTCCGGAACAGTGCCAGGGCGTTAGCAGGGGACCAAGCCCGTTAAAAAAAAGTCTTCTGTAAAAACAGCTGCTTCTGTAATGCAGCCTCAACAGCCATGTCGGCACAGAAACAGGGTAGAGGTGAGATCCATTCCAAGAGCTAATGTGGTTCTGCGGCTGTGGTGGTAAAAAGTACGTGTGTTAGATAATGATGATGTAAATATGTACATCTAGAACCTTTTTCTCTAATGAACTCTGCAGTTTGTCCATCGTGTTCTACCAAAACGCACACTGAAGTCTGTTAAATGTGGATTGTTGCGATTGAGCAACCCTTTTACCATTTGAGTGCCAGAGCCGGATTTTTCATTTGTTTTTGTTTTGGAGGGTTTTTTTTTTTTTTACTATAGAAATGGTAACCATCCTGTGTAGAACTTTATATGCAACTTTTTAAAATAAATGTTTTTTATGAAAAGTGACAATTGGTGCAGAGACTTTATATAGTTCTTTCCAGCTTCAGTTGCGTACAAACCTAGCGTGCTCACTGTTCATCTTTCCGGGGGGACAAAAGGCTAAGCGCTGCTCTGAATAGTCCCTGTCAGCCGTACTAACTAGATCTAGTCTGCGCTGGGAGTCGTAGCTGTGTTAACCAGCAGTCTCTGCTGGTAACTAACGCTTGCACAGTGTCCTGGTCAGTCAGAGCGAGAGAGAAGTGACCCAGATGTGCCCCCGGCTGTGAAGACCGTATTATCCACGTACCTGGGCTATGCTCACAACTGGCAGAGGTGTCCTCAGTCACGAGCAGCCCACCCCAGCAGGCTGCCAGGCTTCCCTGTCCTGCAGCCCATCCTCGTTCACAGCAGAGGGGAATGCAGCCTTTCTGTCTTGGACCTGTGGCCCACGCAGCGGCTCTGCAGCCTGAGCTGAACCTGCTACGAACCGTGTCCTCCTGTTGGCCCTGGCCGTCGCTTTCTCCCTGTAGCCAGGCTGCAAGATGCTGCGGCGTGCCCCTGGGGAGCGCGAGCAAGCACAGACGATGAGTTCTGAGGGCCTTGCTCTACGCAACTGGTGTCTTTGAATGTCAGACAAAAGATGCGATGAGGAGGGAAAGCACAGGAAAGAAAAAACAGCTGGAGGGGGGAGGAGCCATGCTCTTTAAGGAAGGAAGCCCACAAGGAAAACCAGAAGGATGAATCGCTCCTACCAGTGCTTCTCCTCGTTGCACCCTGATTACCCCTGTTTCTGCAGTGTCTGTGACACCCCCCGATGGTGCTGCACTTCCTCGGCTCCCCCCTCCTGTCACACCTGGAGTCTGTCTACGGCAAAACTGATACAGACAGCGAGAGACACCAGTGTACGGGGTGTCCGTGCCCAGGAGCTGGCAGGGGGCTGCGGGGGCCTCTGTGAGGAGAGACTGGGGCTGCCCCATGCCGGACACAGCCGGGCCCAGCCGGCTCCAAGGGCCCCCCCGCAGGACACAGCTGAGCCCCTCAGCCAAGCTGGGGGCGCCGGGGGGGAAACAGGTTGCCGAAAGGGCCAAAGGCGGCCCAGGCAGAGGAGGAGGAAGCCAAGGAGGGAGCAGCAGCAGAGGGAGCCCGAGGCCGGAGGAGCAGGAGGGCAGGAGGGGCTGCAGGCCCGCAGCAGGGATCCCCTGCAGCCCTGCAGAGCCCCCGCTGGGGCAGAGCCCAGGACTGCAGCCCGGGGAAGGGCCCTTGCTGGAGCAGGGAGAGGTGTGAGGAGGGAGGAGCGGCCGAGAGGGGCTGGGATGGACTGACCACAACCCCCATCCCCACCCCTGCGCTGCTGAGGAGTCAGGGGTGAAGGGGTGAAGGTGGGACTGGGGAAAAAAGGGTGGTGGGTGGGGGGAAGGCGGTTTAGTTTTTGTCTTTATTTCTCACCTTCCCAATCTACTTTAACTGGCAATAAACCAAATTAATCTTCCCCAGGCTGAGTCTCCTTTGCCTGTAATGGCAACTGGTGAATGATCTCCCTGTCTTTATTTGGACCCATTAATTTATCTCTTATTTTCTCTCCCCCATCCTGTTGAGGTGGGGGAGTAAGAGAGCGGCTGGGGGGCAGCCGGCCCCAAGGTCAGCCCTCCACAGCCAGAAATGCTAGAACAGGACGTTAACACTGAGTTAGTTACACACTAAGGGAAATACATTTCACGGGAGATCAGATGTGCAAACAGAGTAACCGCTACCGTGGGACACGGCGTAAGACTTCAAGCGACGCATCCCAGCCCACCTTTATCCCTCGCAGTAAATCAAAAGCCCCATGCACAAGCCATTACAAAGCTCCGGCTACAAACCGTATCATTTAACGCGCGCTTCCTCAGGCTGCGCCAAAAGCGACCGAGGAGCATTCGAACAAAACGAAGCACACGTGCAGACTGTGTCTTACTCTATAACCAGACAATTTGCGTAGCGCCCACTAAACTCTGCAGCTGAAACAACTGGGAAAGCAGGAAAAAATGATACTTGGACGTCTCCCTCACAGCTCGGGGTTTTCTTCCCTACCAGCACCCAGCTCTCCACTGCTCTTGAAGATGTCCAGCTGACGATGCACAGCTGGGCCACCACTGCCCCTGCTGACCAAATTTGAAGGACTTCTTTCCTCCTGCCAACCTTTCAGGCAAGGAGCTTACTGCTCACGGACCATGCACCAAAACTGGGAGGACTTCAGCCACCACGGCCTGGGCTGACACAGCCTCTCCCTGCACCCAAAGGAGGAGCAGGAAAGTCCATGATGCCAAGGACAACCTTCCTTCAGGTACTGGAAAGCTGCCCTCAAGTTCCCATCTTTCCATATCTGGTATGGGGAACTTCACTATAACCGGCTAAATCTCGACAGAATTACAGGCATCCTCAACAGGGCGCTGCAGTGGACAGCAGCCAGCTTTGCTTACGAGACGCATTGCTCGCTCTTTTTTTAGTTTTCAAAATTTGCAGTTGCTGAATGCTCCCGTGCTGCAGGGAAGGCGGCTGCCAGGCGGAGCTGGTGGAGCTGCGAGGGCTATCTTGGCCCGTTTAAGGTGGTCAGGGACTTCAGACAGTGGGACACAGGCCAGGGGACACTTCCCAGGATGAATCTATTCCTATATACATACTTCTGGGTTGGTTTTTAGGGGTTTGTTGGGGTTTTTTTCCTACAATACTAGCTGGCGAGATCCTTCCCCCCCAGCCAAGGCTGCTCAAAGGAGATGAAGCTTCCTAAGCTTGCAAAACTGACAAAAGAACTGTGGTTACTGAGTATAAATTACCATATTTCACTCCTCTTACAAGTTTCCTGTGGGACGCTGAACATATTCTGTCAATTAGTGAGGCCACAAGAACTTGAACACCCTTCTGGATTCATTCAGCCAGAATCCGCGACGAGGACTTCAGAGCTGCCAGAATGTGCCACAGGATCTCCAAGGCTTTGCATCCGCCAAAGCTCGTTGCCATCAAACCCAGTCAGTGGTATTTCTTTTCCCCAAGAGCCTGACGCAGAGCAAAACCATCCAATTCAAAGTAGTATTTCAAAAACAAGGGAAAAAAGCAAGCTCTGCCTGAAATGAAGAGCGGGCTGTGACGTTAGTTCACGTTATTGAGTAAAGCTGACCTGTGCAGGGTTGGGCTCCCACCAGGAGCTCCTCCGCATACCTGCCATTCCTTTTGGCGTCCCCCTTCCCTTGGTGCTTTCTGGTAGAACACCAAGTGCTTACGTCGTTTCTGTTTAAAAATTGATCGCTGTCCGTATTCACTCCGAAAGCAAGAAAAAGTAGGATTTCAGGCAAGTGGTTTCCAAACCGCTGACCTTCGGTAAGTAACGTCAGGATGATAACCTGAGGGACAGCTAAAAGCAGCACATACTGCCGCTGGAGGTCAGGGCGCAGAGCGGGCGAGTGCCCACGGAAACACCTGAAACGCGCCCAAGCGCTGTAATGCGAGGGAGGGCGATGGGACTCGGAGAACTTACAGGCTCTCGGGCAACAGAGATCTTCTCCCCTGTCACAAAAGGGGGATCGTTGGGCCGGGGCCAACTGCATGAGGTTCAACAAGGCTCAGTGCCGGGTCCTGCACTTGGGTCACAACAACCCCATGCAATGCTACGGGCTGGGGGAGGAGTGGCTGGAGAGCTGCCTGGCAGAAAAGGACCTGGGGGTGTTGGTTGACAGCCACCTGAACATGAGCCAGCAGTGTGCTCAGGTGGCCAAGAGGGCCAATGGCATCCTGGCCTGTATCAGGAATAGTGTGGCCAGCAGGACCAGGGAGGTGATAG